TCCCTGGAGGGATTTAAAATCCAAGTGGATGTGGCACTTGGGGACACGGGGCACTGGTGGCCTTGGCAGTGCTGGCAATAGTGCCCTCAGTCATCTTATAGGGCTTCTCCAACAGAAATAATTCCATGATTCCATCTCTTTTTCAAATGTTGGATGAATCCCTACAAAGCATTCTCCCTCTAGTTGCTCTGAGAAGAAAAAACCAATGAATGAATAACACAATTTTGGGGGGTTTTCCAAGAGCCATCCCTCCTCTCCTGCTGCCCATCCCTCTCTGTGCCCATTCCTTGGCACATTTTCATCCTGGCAGCACCCAGTGCCTTTCCAGGCCTCTTTGTCCTCACAACTGTTCCAGCACTGCTCTGCCAGCTGTGGAATCGCTCATTGTCCAGCAGCCTCAGCACTGGAGAGGTGGCTTTAGAAATCAGGGACTCAGAGATTCTGTGATACAGAGAGCATGCATGGCTGTGGAGCTCAGTAATTGTGTTTATGGCCGGTAGGATGCTCAGCTTTTGGATTTTAGCTGCTTCTTAACAGCAGACTAGCAGATTCCTGTTGCTGGAAATCAAACCTTTTCCAGTCTGACAAAAGAATGGGCTGACAAAATTGCACGTTCACAACAGACACCGTTCAGGAAACAATTATCTTTCTTACTTGGACAATCAGAGACTGGTATTTACTCACAGAGCTGTTCCAAATCACAGTAATTAACTGTAAATTGGCTCTAGGTTCTCCCTGGAAAACCCGGTTTTCCTGTCAGATTTCCAGCTGTCTCAGCCTTTTCTGGGTTTAATTTATCTACAAACAGCAGGAGTAGCTGGAATCTTTTCCCCTTGGTTTTGCATTTTGTGCAATAGTGGCATTGTCAAGGCTTCAGTAAGGGAGCTCTGGGACAGACAGCAGCAGAGAGAGCAGAGTTTGATCCCCCCTCTCCCTCTGGGAATGACCCATTTGCTGTAGAGGATGGGCTTCCTTTAGCTCATTCCCACACAGAGAGGTTTTATGGGTGCTTCACTATGGATCCAGCACCTTCCAAAAGTTTAATAATCCCCTTGGCATGAACAGTCAGCATTTACCTGTCATTCTCAGTATAAAACATATCCAGAATTTAAAACTGTTTGTAAAAATCCAGTGCAGAGCTCTCAGTGTTTTAGTTAAAGGATCACAATGCAGCAAGCTCCCCAGGGAAAATTTGTACCTCATGGGACAGGGTCTGCATTGAATTCCTTGTTCCAGGGCTACGTGGAAATTAATCCCTCTCAAGAGAAAATGCCCTTCTCCACATCACAAATATTTTATTTCTTCTCCAAAGTGCTCTCTTTGTAATGTGGAGCTCCCAGAGTCCTTTCCCAGCTTCAGGTGGTTCAGACATGTCAGGACAGGCGATGCTGGCAGGGACATTTCCTGGCCCTGTTGCAGACAAGTCCCCAAAGTGCAAGCTGACAGGACTGGGCTCCTTCTCTGCAGCACCTTTTTCAGTGCAAAACTGCAGAAATTTCCTTTGCAGTGCATGTTTAGTTCTAGTAGGAGATCAGATGAGGAGAAATCTCAGTTTCTGTGCCCGTTTCACTGCTCAGATTGTAAGCAGAGTGTCCATGGGTGGGAACAGTCTGTGATAAGAGTTCTGTAACTGGTGATTCACTCCACCAAACCTGTTTCAACAACTATGGGTTTCTCAGGGTCGGGATTGAAGGCACTTGAGACAGTAATTCATGTTTGGACTCAGGTGTTTGTTATTTCTTATTTGTGAAACAGCCTCACAACTGTGGCTTTGGTAGCCTTTCATTAGAAGGCACAAAATGGCCAACTATCTTTTGTTATAAGGTCTTTTAAGTCTAGACTACTCAAGTAAGAAATGATACTTAGATTATTTTCTTTTTTAACTCAATAATTGATTTCTTGAAGCTTGTAATGTGGACTTTTCTGTCCAATTACAAAACACTACCCAAACTTATGAAGAAGGAAGAAGAAGATGAAGAAGAACAACCTACTTCTGCCCTGAAACCTCGATCTTGTTTCATATTTATTTTTATATTCTAAAACCCCAAACTCTTCAGTTTTCTACCTTGTGATATTATATACTTCTAACCAACCCCACACTAGTAATTTTAGTGTTATCAACCAATTTTTGAGGCCTTCTCCACAGCCTCAGGTCAATTGCAGTGTTCTTTTGTGGGTCTGTGCCTTTCAGCACAGAAAGTTTTTAACATTCTCAGCATCCAGGATTCCGACAAACAACCAACAGCAACAATTCCCAGACAGAATAACTCCCAGATATTGCCTGTGCTTGATCACAGAGAGACAGAATGGTTTGGGTTGAAGGGACCTGGAAGCTCATCCCGTTCCACCCCTGCCATGGGCAGGGACACCTTCCACTGTCCCAGGGTGCTGCAAAAAAAGCACAGTCCACAAGAACTTCTTGGCTTTCTTTGCTGGCAGCTTTGCTGGCTTGAAAGAATAGATCTGGATAGGACTGGAGAGGATGGGATGGGATGGGATAGGATAGGATAGGACAGGACAGGACAGGACAGGACAGGACAGGACAGGATAGGACAGGACAGGATAGGATAGGACAGGATAATGTACTTGCCCCCATCTTGCTGGAGCAGGGACTCTTGGTTTTCCACAGCATGACAAAGACTCCAAGCTGCAGGAGCAGAGACAAAAAGTTCTGTGTGGCCATGGAGCCTCAGGTGGGGACAGTCCCTGGAGCAGCCCCTTCACTTGCAGCAGCTGTTGGAAGGGAGGCCAGGTCTCGTTTTCAGGGTCTGTTCCTGGCTTTGTGACAGTTTCTAAGTGAATCAGACAAATCTCTCTGTCTCGGTTTCTCCATCTGTGAAATCCATTTAATGATTCTTACCTACCTCACGCAGCTGCTGCGTGGGGCTGGGGTTCAAGTGCCTGAAAAATAATGTAATGAGAGGAAGTGCATGCTGTCAGCCCTCTGAAATCCTGGAGAACCAGGATCTTCCCCCTCCCACCAGACAGGCACCCTGGGCGTTGTTCCAGGTGGGGATAGGTCGGGGCTGTGCATTTTCCCCCAGACCAGCAGAGTTCATTGAAAGACATGAAACTACTCATAAAGAATAGGTCCCACATTTCAGTGTGCTCTGAAGCCTGAGTGCTCAGCAGCAGTCAGAGAAGCAAAAGGGATCATAGGAATTACTGAGACAGAAATAGAGGATAAAACAAGAATCCTCATTACCACTTTATAAATCCACAGTGCGCTCACATCTTGAGTTCTGCATGCAGTTCTTGTTTCCCCCTCCCCTGCTCCATCTCAGAAGAGGAAGAAGCAGCAATATATCCAGAAAAGGTACAGAGAAGGGCAAAAACTGTGATCAAAGGTGTGGAGCAGCTTTTATCCAAGGAGAGAAAATAGACCAGGATTTGTCACTTTTGAAAGGCGATGACGGAGAAAAGGAGCATGATGAAACAAGGGTGAATGTCACACTGGAGAGGGGACAATCACTGAATATTCGTCATAACCTCGAAGTTAGGAGACATCAGCTGAAACTTTTGAGAGCAAAGGAAAGTATTTTTTATTCACATAACGAAGCTGGAGCTGTCACAGGTGGGTGCCAGTGGATCACTGACAGTGTCAATGGATTCCAAAAGGAGGTGACAATTTGGGGAGGGGAGCTCAGGGAGGGCTGTCAAACCCTGAAATAACCCTGGCACTGCTGCTCTCAGGGCTGGGGCTGCTTGTTCTGCTCTCATCTCTCACCCTGAGCTCCTGCTGATGGCCAAGGCCAGAGAGGAGCTGCTGAGTGGAGGAACCTTGCCCTGACCTCAAGGTCTCCCCTCCACGTGGCTGAGCAGTTGAGATGTGGTTTTAGCTCCTGAACATTTCATGATTGTTCTGTGATGGGGAAGAACTGTGTGAAATCTGAATGCTAAGGTTAGTCTGGTTTGAGTTTCTCAGGCAGGCAGAGGGGTGAGAGATGAAGAGGAGAGAGGAGGAGGAGGCTCAGCTCTCTCAAACTCACATTTTCCAGCTCTGTTCCACCCTCACACACATAACATTTGAGCTCCTCACTTCCCGTAGGAGCACAATGGCAGAAATAGTGGGATTGGCACTGAGAGCTGCCTGAAATGCAGGTTAGAGGAGGATGTAATCATGCCTTGATCTGCATCCTGCCGGCTCCTCTGAGAAGGAGGAGCTGAATGGCAGAGAGGGCTCAGGAAATGCTGAGTGCACGGAAAGGGAACAATGGCTAATCAGGGTTTCTGGGTGTCCATCTGGATCAGAAAGGCAGTTAGACTGTCAGAGCTTGTGGGAAGGTGAAGGTACAACAGAGCTGAGCCATTTCCTTCCTGTCCTCAGGAAATACCCTTCTGTTTATCCAGCTTGGAGGCTCTTCAAGTTTTTAAAGCAAAAAATTTTGGCCTGTGGCCACCGCTCACATCTTCTGTGATAAATTTGTTTAGACTTGAATGATTTTTTTTTTTCCTGATTACGTTCCCTGTGAGTGCTGAATGCACCCAGGACTGCAGCCTGGAGAAGGGCACAAAGCTCCCTGGGCAGGGGCTGGCAGAGGACTCTGCCATGGAAATGTGCAGCTACAGGAGCATCTGCAGTGACCTCCTGGATGGGGGGAGCTTGAGAGGTGCTCCCAAAAATCCCTCAGGACAGAAATCTCCCAGGAAGCCTTTTCCTTCTGAAACTCCAAAATGCACTTGAATGTCCTCAGATGTTTTACACAGTTGTTAGGTGA